GGTATATACATTGTTTTGTAATGGTATACATATTGTTTTGTAATGGTATACATATTGTTTTGTAACGGTATATACATTGTTTTGTAATGGTATACATATGCAGGGAATCAACAATCGTCATCAAATTAGAAATTGCATCAATCGTTTCATAAATACTGAAAGCGTTTATAAAGATTACGGATTGAAAAGACGTTTTTGCACTTTATGAAAATTGAACTCTTCGTAATAACTACTACATGGGACGCCGAATATACAACACTCTTTTGGTACTTACCCAGCCCATGTATAATTAATTCATTGCCATTGTACTGCCAAGGACCAAACTTTAATTCACATAGTTGATGGTCGAACGGGAAATATTTGACATGTACGTGACACGTCGAATGAAATATAACTGGTGATGCCCACAAAACGGAGCCGTTGTAATCCACTTTGACAATTCGGTTGTCTAAGAATGTACGATACAAGTCATCGGCACTGAAACAGGAATCAAATAATTTATTTACAGATCAGTAAACGTAGATGTAAAAGCCACATGCGGTGATTACTCCAGAGTTAGCATTTTAAGTAAATATACTGATGGCTCCAATCGCTTGTTGGTGATAGGTTTTCATAGAACAATGTTTGAAATGTTTTTTAAATATGTTGGTTGGTTGGTACATAGTTGGGTAAGTAAGTGTAGTAGACATTGATTGACAGAGAGTTCGTTATCTAGTAGATATTAGTTGGTTAACCATGTTCAGTATGTATTGGTTTGTGAATAGTTGGTTATATGTCTAGCAGACATTGCTGGTCATGTGTAGATATCATCGTTTTCATATTTTTTTCATCTTTAGTTCATGATACACCGAAATGAGATATGAGAAACAGAAATGTTATTGAATAAGGTTAAAATATATAGATTTTTTTTATTGTAAAAATATTTATATGAAAAAAGACATATATTAATACTGATGTGAAATTGAAAAATTGTTGAAACAAAACAGCAACATTCTACAAAACATATATGTTCAGTAGGGCAAAATTTGAATTGGGTTCAAACTTTGTTATGATTCATACAATGCTACTATCTGAGATAATAGTAATTGTAATTTGATTTTAAATTTATTTGAAAGAGCTTGGTTGAAATAGTAATAAGAAAAAAAACAAGCATTCTCACTTGTTATATAGTATGACTTCTGGTAACCATATCAACTCAGATGGTATCTTAATATATTCCAGTCCGCCGAATTTATGAGGTTCCCAAGTGAGAAGTTCATCTTTCCAGACCTGTGTACCACCAACAACAATAAAGATAGAATATCATTCACGTTATCATCGACAGTTTAGAAACGTTACAATATACTAAATATAAATATGTATATTAGAAACACAGCGATGTTATGTGATGTGATGCGATGCGATGCGATGCGATGCGATGTGATGCGTTGCGATGCGATGTGAGAGATGTGATGTGATATGATATGATATGATATGACATGATGTGATGTGACATGATGTGATGTGATGTGATGTGATGTGATGTGATGTGATGTGATGTGATGCGATGCGATGCGATGTGATAAATTTAACTGTGTTTGTTATCGCTATTATTTATTTGTGATAACATTAATTTCCATGATACAGTGCGGCACCAGCGTAGTTATGACATTACTAACCAGCGTGACCCAGGCATTCGTTATAAGTTTCTGCATTCGTTCATTCTGAAATATAAATTTGATAATTTGCATCAGCGATTTACCGCACCAGTGTGTAAAAACTAAGGGTCTTTTTGAAAGTCATTACAACTAGTCTTTAATCATTGTCACGTACTCGTATCTATTTACGTGCACTGATTCAGAATACGATTTTCTCCTTTATCACAGAAAAGAAAGAAGGATAGACAGTGAGGTGTGTGAATAAAATAAATCTTATCATAAATACACGTAATTCACCCTAGGGATACATTACGTAGGCAGCCATTAGCAACCTGATTCCACACTACACCACAGACACAGCCATGAATGACACAATAATAAACAGCGATAAACTGATTAGTGAGTGAAAAAAACACAAATACATTACTATTAGAAACATAAACCGTCAGAGTCGCCATGAGACACGTCCGTCTGGGTCATTTACTTTCCACATGTCAACTATGTCAGAGAAGTAACGAATCAACGAGTTGATTACTGTCATTGTCGTTCTTTATCTCAAGTGAAGCATAGATTTAGATTCCAGCTATTTTCTAATGTTTATAGACTTCCTTTATGCAATTTGCGTATGATTTGCATTATAAATGATCGCCTCAAACGTGCTATGACAATCTATAACAGAAATTCAGATACTCCGTATTAATATGTGTTACATAATTGGGTATCAATAAATTTTGCGCTGTTGTAGTTGCCGCCGCTGCTGTTGTTGTTGCTGTTGTCACTGTCGTCGTCGTCGTCGTCATCTTTGTCGTTGTTGTTGTTTCATGGTAAATGATAGCAATATACTTATCGCGTCATCAGAGTGATTCATGATATCAAATATTTTGTAATCTAACTAATCTAATGTATTTATAATTCATATGTAGAAACAGCAAGTCTTGAATTATCATTTACACTCTCTCGATTTGGATAAGAAATTAACTAAAAAAAAATCTGACTTTACTGTCCTTTAGAAGTCGTTTCACGCTATCAGGTTATGACGTCAGTCTTGTTGGCGCAGTACATACGTAGTCTCTTAATCGACCTGCATTACTCGCAATATTACCACCTACCATGTCCAATATTTGTGATATTAATATTAACATTTCCAGTTTAGTCACATGTGTTTCATTCAATACCGGTCTCAATACAGGATTGTAGCTTAGCAACAGCTTCTCAACTAAGCGATTGGAAATCGACTTAGCCGGTGGAAAAGACGATTCTGAAATAAAGATGAATAAATATGACGTAATAGGGTTCACTTAATGCGATGTGACATCCCGTGGTGGGATGATATGTTACTTCGCGTGATGCAATGTAAATTGGTGAGACGTTACGTTGCGAGTTTTTGCGTTAAGCCCCATTTGGCGATTTGAACGTGAAACACTTGTTTTTATAATTGCAATATAGCAGGCGCTAAGGGGGTAGTTGAGAGATAGTTGGTGGCAACAATAAAGATTTATTGGGTACACAATAAATATGAAAAACAAAGTACATTATCGAGCACATAAACAGTTTTTACCATAGAAATAACACCTGTTACTACGTATGGTCGGTATATCAATAGATAAAAAGGGATCTTCGACGAGAGATGAAATGAAATGAAAGAATAGTACGAGAGTGGCAGTAAAGTAGGACAAAATAAAATGTTATAGTTTTCGTTTGTGATTGTGGATGTGACGACAAACAACTAATCATACTACCTGATAATCGAATCCGATTTTATCACACATGCAAAAGTTGACAGATATTTAATTTTATAATAATATCATGCCGAAGTAAATCTTGTTTTATAAGATAAATTTCGGATAAATAATATTCCTAGTGATATATTCTACAAAGAATATATGGGAGGGGGGGGGTTGCACCATGTAAGTTATAAATATTTGTCGAAACAGACCCGCCGATAACGCCGACAATCATTTGACGATGATTCCCGCTTCAAAATTGAAGAATATTTATATCAAAGCTATTAAATTATTCTTCAAATGTAAATAATGGTTTATTTTGATAAAATAATGTTACAGATGCAATATTGAGAGTGTAAGAGAGTGTATTTTTTCGTGTAGCTGTATGGACACAGCATATTGATAAATGCATTGGAGTATGACTACGAGCTTAAAGCGTTTTTCTTGTAGCTCACATATCTGAGTATTCGTTCGACCAAGAAATGAAATTCCTTAATACGCATGTGCACTGGTTGTTTTAGCGCGTACAATGACTGCACATGCGTATTAGTGATTTCAGGTTTCCATCAACGATTATGTCCTGCAAACCAACAGTTTTAGTTTATGACATCTCAACAGTATTAACAAATTTATGTTTTCGTCTATATTTTATCTTTAAATCGATAAAGGAGGATTTTCAGAAAATTAAGATCAAAATGGATTTATATGTGTTGAGACTATAATACGGGAAGAAACACGTGTGAAGACCTCGTTACCGTGAATGAAACATTTGAAGTGTCAGGCAATTATCGAGTACACGCGCAATTTTACCTCAAAACATAGCCTTTAATTGCAAAACTACCGTGAAAACATTCAACGTTGCATCTATGAATGGAAATCGTCAATGGCAAGGGGTCATTGCACTAATTGAAAAATATACTGGCAAAGTCAAACAATTGAAGTGAATTTACTTAAGGTAGCGAGAGGGGAAAAACTAGAAAAAAAAACTTTTTTCTAAAAATCCCGGATTATGCAATCTTATATTGTGTACTTTCTTTATCTTTGGTCCGAATTTACAGTGCGCGATGCATTTGTTGAGTAATTTCAATTTATTCCCGGAAACTTAGTTGTAGGTGAACATGTCCTTCCTGCATTTACATATCATGTTGAATGACAGACTGAAGACAAAGGATTTAATTTGCATACTGATTTGTTGACCATCCAGCTTTATTATATACTGTGTAATCTATAAGAAGTGTCCGTTACGCGATCGAAGCACAGATAAACATAACGCTATCGTATTCAAGCTTTTCTCGGTGTTTTAATAACCTAATATAGCCTAATATGGCCGCCGACAAATGTCCGACACCGTTAAAAGATATCTAAATGAAAATGACCTGGGCTCATATTACAGTCAGCCCACAGAGTGGAATCAAAAATGTAACTCCGTGACTGACATTTTTCCTGCGTCAAAAAAGAGTGGACATTCTTTTGATGTGAATCGT